GTCTGGTGGAGGCCTTGGTAGCTGTGGTCCATTAGTCCTTTGGACTAATCTTTTCCTTGTATCCTGTTCTCTTCATTCTCCCTTGCTCCCAAAGGGGTGAGACCAGTGGAGTATCTTAGATGACTGCTCACAGGCTTTTAAGACCCCAGATGCTACTCACCAAGGTAGAATGTAGAATATTGTTTTTAGAAACTGCGTTATGCCAGTTGAGCTAGATATTCCCTGAGACCATGGACCCCACAGCCCTCTGCCCAGCAGTTCAGTCCCTCTGCCCAGCAGTTCAGTTTAGATGTGTCTATGGAGCTTCCATGACAAGTTTCCTTGTACAAGTTTTGTTAGCTTCCCCAGTATTGTGTCTCACCCTTCACCAAAAATACCACTTATCTATCGTCTATTTAGTATTTCCCCTCCACCCATCCTATTCCTCATAACCAACAAAGATTGTTACTTTTTGTGTGTAAACTTTTTCATGAGTTTTTACAATAGAGGTCTCATACAATATTTGTCCTTTTGTGATTGTCTTATTTCACTCAGCATAATGTCCTCCAGTTTCATCCATGTTATGAGATGTTGTGGTGCTGAAGTTTTCTTTGTTCCTCTTACTCTCCCGTGCTGAATTCCTTTTGTTTGTGGATTTTTTTTTTTCATTTCTTTTGTTTTTGTAGGTTTTGTTTTTACTGAGACTTTGTTTTTCCTCTTTATTTTTAAGAGTATGTTTGTTAACTTTCTTTGTGCTCACTGTGAAATTTACCCTTATCTTTGTAAGTTTGAAGCAGTCTATTATTATTTGGTATCACCTTGACTTCCTCTCTATTAGAAGGTTCTATACCTACACCGTTTATTCCCTCTTTTATTGTTCTGATGTTTTTGTCGTTTACAGATTAACTGCTCTGATTCGCTGTTGTATTTCTTTTGGTTTTGGGTAGTCCTTGAGAGTTCATTTCCTAGATTGGTATCTGGCTGGTATGATCCTGTGTCCTAGATTCAGCCTGTGAGGTGAAGTTGTTTGTTCTCAGATCGAAGGACTCCCTTTAATAATTCTTGTACGTTTGGTTTGGTTTTTACATATTCCCTTAATCTCTGTTTATCTGGAAATGTCCTAATCTCGCCATGATATTTGAACGAGAGTTTTGCAGGAGATATTATTCTTGGCTGGCAATTTTT